TCTTGCGAAGCATGACGAGTTTATTTAGTAGTTTGCTGACAAGCAATTCAGTATGCTTGGCATATGTCAAACTAAGGAAGCAATATCACAGAATCATACTACGACTGAAAACGAAAATGGCCTACAAAGTGCAATTAATTAAAAAAAAAAAAAGGTGGAACTGCTATTCTAGTTCAGTCATGACACTTTGAAAGAGGAAGTTGGGTTTTTTGGCTCGATAACAGCTGAAAGTGTATTTAAAAAAAAAAAAGAGGACTTATTTCATCTTCTGAATCTTTCTCAATCACTATTCAGAACATTCGCGTTTTTTTTCAGAAAACAAACAAGATTGGTGACCTTTGGCTCGATAACAGCTGAAAGTATATTAAAAAAAGAAAGAGGACTTATTTAATCTTCTGAATCTTTCTCAATAACTATTCAGAACATTCGCGTTTTTTTCAGAAAACAAACAAGATTGGTGACCCGCTCCTCTCTCTCATCGATGCGACTTTTTCATACTCCTCAATGTGTCTTGTTGCGTCATGATGTTTTATTTCTTGAGCACTGCAGCTTTGTCTGTGCATTCAAGACCCCATGCGCTCAGCAAAACAAATAAAATAAAATAAAATAAAAATCTGTTTCCAGCAAAATGTCAACATTCCGCAGACTGCAAATGAGTCCCGGGCTGAGTTTGAGACACCTGGCCTACACCGTCTACTCATTCACTCACTCAAAGACTTTTGACATGTCTTTTCAGACTCCACACATTCAATCCGTACTTATTTTATATATATATATTTTATTTATTTATTTATTTTTCTCAATTTTTTTTTTATTTTAAAGACTTTCCTGACAATGTCTGGTACTGTTAACTGAGGACAAACCCCAAAAAGGAAGCCTTGACACTCTTTGAACCGACAGCACTGCTCTCAATGTTTTTTTTGGATGCCATCTTGTCACTCAGGGTTTCCATTGATGAGTCAAAAATATACATAAGCTCTTTTTTTTTTTTTTCCTTCTGTAGGTGGATTTTTGACTAAATGGTTGGCTGTGCCCTCCACTTGCCCTGGAGAAGGCGTGCAAAAAATCCCCCAAATCCCAGAAAGACAATAACTGTAAAACAATAAAACCCTATACGGTATAAATAAAATAAATGCAATAAATGTAAACAAAATGCAGCATTCAAAAATGATAATTTTGGAAAAGGGAAATGTGATCGCCAAAACACCCGCGTCGCCCTGTCAGCCTCTATGTCAGACTTCCCCCTTCGGGGAGGAGACTTCTGATCGTGAACGAAGATATGGTTGTCTGTGGTTGACTTTGACGGAACCATACGCACACAATAAGAGCAGTGAGCACCACAGCAATTATTTTGACTTGTCACGTGCGGGGGTCACGCAATTTTTAAAAACATGGTTACGGTGGGAAAAATCAATGTGTTTGTACCAGGCTTAACATGCAGTGCTGCTCAAACTAGGCCGAGTTAATCAATCCCGGCTGCAAGAACGAGACCTAATGTGATTCGGCCGGCGCACGCGTGCTCGGTCACAAGCTCGCTTGTTTATTTCTATTAACAGAGCGACGAGATTGATGCCGACTGACTGGACGGGCTCGGACGCTCGCAGCTGCGAGTTGGTTGGTGCCAGCAACTCCAGATGCATCATCGGCCTCAAAAGCAAATTGAGCGGCGGCGGCACGAGCACAGAAGGCCGTCGAGTCTGGCCCGCCGTGCTCAAGGACTTGATTGTTCCTCGTTGCTGCTTGAGGAAATACTGGAGGCGGTTAGGACCGGCAAGGCGGTAAAGCACCTGTGCTTTGCCCACGCTTGCGCACAGTCGGCAGTAGGCCCCGATCGATTTAGATCTTTGGAGGCCGATTCTGATATTTGAAATCACAAAATTGTGGAAAATGATTATTTGGACGGTTAGTTAATAAGACATATTTTTAATGGAAAAATGACTTCTTTTTGGCCCCTCCCCCTCAATGCTTACAACAATAAAGATATGAATTACAGGCAAAACGGTGAACTTTACAATTGATAGAAACATAGACAAAAATAAGACAATTTTATTTGGTGGGGAGGAATGTGTGAATGTCCTCATCTTTGTCTTGTGTTGCAATGTGTGTTTTTAAAAAAAATGGCACAGGTCGGTCGATTTTATAAAAGCTAATTGCCTCCCCAATGAGCAAGAAGGAAAACCCACAATAGTCTAAGTTAAGGTCACAAATGAAAATGTCACAAATGTGATCGAGTGGAGCCACAATAAGCGAACCGCGACGTTGCGAGTGGACACTATGTCGAAGTGATGTTGTACAGTTCAAGCTGTGCATGTCGGATAGGAGGCGAGTTTACCCCCTCGGTTGTTCGCGGCGGTTACGGAGAGTCTTTGCCACACATGCTTGTAAACATTGTCGGTCTGGTGCATTTTTTCGAACTCAAATCATTCTTTGGGATTTATGTTGCCGGGTAATGAAAGATGAATTTTGAAATTGACATGAAAGTGTTTCGGCATCATACTTTCTGGTGTATTTATGGTTTCATCTATTAACGTCGGGAATTGTAAACATTTTTTGGGCGGGGGTGAGAGGGGCGGCGTCAATTGCTTGCGGTTTGTTGCTCGTCGGTCGTGAAGAAATTATGTTTTTTCTTTCACGGCAGTGGGGGGGGGGGGGGGGTCCGGGCCCCCCTGAATGTGTTGCTTTTTGTGCCTGCGGTCATTCAGATTCCTGCCATTGTGTCCAGATGCCATTCCACATGCATGCTCGTTGTGTGGCTTTTTTTGCTCTCCCTGACTCACTCCTTCTTCTTCTTCTTCCCTGCACGTTTGCGCTATCGCAAGCGAGTAGTAGTGAGACGCAGCCGTGTTAAATTACCTCCGGCCGCAGCGCCGCACATGGATTGTGTTACTTTATGACAGCTTTAAGGCCACCGGCTCCTCGTCGAAATTAGAATGTCCCTTTGTTGCCCAACACTTTTTCATTTTAAAAAAAAAATACTCAGTCGCCAGATTTCAACTTTACCCGCAGTCATCTGAATATTTAAACCGCTTTGAATCGCGCGATCGTAAAACCCGACACCACGGTGGTTTCAAAGTGCACCTGCGTGGATTTCACACCAGTATGCTTGTTTGTTAACCCGGCGTAGGATACATCCGCGATTATTTGAAGAACACGTTGGTGCATAGAATGCTACGTGGGAGGTGTTAAAAAGTGATCAAGCCGACGATGCACTCACTGGCCGCAATATTACACCTTTCTCATACGGTGGAGCGTTTTCGAGCATTTGTAAAAAAACTTTCTCAGGATATCTTGACTACTTTAAAATGGTTCGCGCTTAAAAATAACAGACGACGTGGGGAAAAACAAGTGGTCTAGCAGCTGTTTTTTAAAAAATAAAATCGCTCTCTCCGTTCTGTCAGCGTGACACAATTCAACAGAGCGCACTGGTGGGAAGTAACTCACGATTGGCACTTTGGCATCACTTCCTGTCTGCTGCGCGTAAGGATATCACCTAACATTTACGGTGGCATATTAGCACATCCAATAGATTTGTGATTTAAAATTTGGGGGGGTTTATTTCACACCCCAAAAGTTTTGTAAATGTTCTACTTAATTGATTTAATTTTCTTTCATCCTATCTCAGTAGGCTGACATTTTTTTTGCTGTACTGCCCCCTGCTGTCGACTGAAATTGACGTCACAACGAGCTCAGCTTGTGAACTCAAGGCTCTCTGGGTTTGGTCAAGTGATGTTGGCAAGGCGAGTCCTTTGGCATTTGGCCGTCCATTTCAGTTGCCAGCGGGCATTTGGGGAAAAAAAATCGAATATGGATTTGTATGTAGCTTCTAAGCTGTTGCACAGCCCCGCGGAGGCTCGCGTCGAGAGATCTCTCACGACAGTGGAACGGTTTCCTTCCAACAACAATGCCTTGTGTTGACAGCGAAGCATTTGGGCCGGGCGTTAGTGGAATGTGTCCCTCCGTCAGCAAGAGGAGTCCTCTTTGTCCAGCTGGCAGCCCATCCCCCCCCCACCCCCCCCCACCTCGCCTCCCCTCCCATCTTGAACTCAAATCATCTACCTGAAGATGAGATCCGCATCTGAAAACGGGGAACGCACTGTCCCGCAAAATAATACATGTTCCCCCAAGGTGCCGTTTCAGGTCTTTGACAAGCCGCTGGATAATCACTGCAATGCGAAAAGCAGCAAAAAGCGTCGTGTGCGGGGGCGTGAAGCAGCTCCAAGCAGAAATGCTCCGTTCACTGTGGGTCAGTGCCTTTCTTGGGGGAATGATCGAAAAAAATCACGATGTGAGAAGTCATTCTGTCTCGGTCTGTGAGTACAACTTGCCATTAAACAGCAATTTTGTTCTGGTCAGCGACGTGCAAGGGCTGGTTTGGTTGGACTCAATGCAGCTCTGCTTACCTCATGGGTTTCATATTATAGAAAGGGTGTCACACCCGAGGGGGGTGTACTGTTCTACATGATGGTGTTTGAAACAGTGCAGTCCAGCGGCCAGACTGCGGCTGTTGCTTGAAAGTGGCTCTGGATCTTACCCCCGTGTAGCTGTCAAGTCATGGGCTGAGAAAATTTGTGTGTGTGTGTGTGTGTGTGTGTGTAAATGAACCAAATTGCGACAAGGCAATTTGGCAACATTTAGGCAGTGGACTAAATATTTACGCTATCATTATCGCAATGTGGTACAATGCAATTTTCAAATTACAAAGGCAGTGCTTAAAAAAAACAACAACTTCAATTTCAGTCAATCGGCTTCATGTATTGATTTATTGATATAGTGTCGAGATAAAGTCAGGCCTTAAGAAGGACAGTCCACATTGACATGTAATTGTTTCATAAACAATGAAAAGTTGAAGCGACATCGCCACAGATTTGTTCGCATTGTTGTCGTATTACGATTCATGACTTATTTTTACATTTTTACAAAGCTTTAAAGACTTAAAGTGAAAGTATTTCGGAAGTGAACAAATAGAAATGAATCCTAACGTCTCGTCTTTGCGTGCGCAGGTGACCCACGTAAGCGCTCCTGAGACGTGAGTGCGGGACAGGCGTTCTCCCTCCCAGCAACCCTCTTGCGTCACCTTCCCGTCTTTGCTGTGAAGCCGCCGCGGTGTGCCAGCTGACCGCCATGAGGAGCAGATACTCCCAGTACTACAATCGGACTCTGATCCCTTACCACTACGTGTTCGCCAAGAACATGACCCTCGAGGACCTGGACAAGCGCTACGAGGACAAGAAGTTGCTGACGGACCCCAGCATCATCATCGTGGTGCTGTGCACCATCATCATCCTGGAGAACCTGCTGGTGCTCATCGCCGTGTGCCGCAACAAGAAGTTCCACTCGGCCATGTTCTTCTTCATTGGCAACCTGGCCTTCTCCGACCTCCTGGCCGGCTCGGCTTACATCGCCAACATTTTCCTGTCGGGCTCGCGGACCTTCGACCTGGTGCCCGTGCAGTGGTTCATCCGCGAGGGCACGGCGTTCATCGCCCTGGCCGCGTCGGTCTTCAGCCTCTTGGCCATCGCCATCGAGCGCTACATCGCCATCACCAAGGTCAAAGTGTACGGCTCCACCAAGACGTGCCGCATGTTCCTGCTCATCGGCGCCTGCTGGGTGACGTCCATCCTGCTCGGCGGTCTCCCCATCATGGGATGGAACTGCATCGACAACCTCCCCCAGTGCTCCGCCGTGCTGCCGCTCTACTCCAAGAAGTACATCCTCTTCGTGGTGACCATTTTCAGCCTCATCCTGCTCTCCATCGTCATCCTCTACGTGAAGATCTACTTGATCGTGCGCTCCAGCCACCAGGAAGCCACAAACTCCCCCGCTTACGCCCTCTTGAAAACGGTCACCATCGTGCTCGGCGTCTTCATCATGTGCTGGCTGCCCGCCTTCACCATCCTCCTCCTGGATTCCTCGTGCACCATCCAGTACTGCCCCATCCTCCACAAAGCCAACATCTTCTTCGGCTTCGCCACGCTTAACTCGGCGCTCAACCCGGTCATCTACACGCTGCGCAGCAAGGATATGCGCAAGGAGTTCCTGCGCGTGCTCTGCTGCTGGGGGGTGCTGCAGAGCGGGAGGCCCGCCGAGCGCTGCCTGGTGCCGCTCAAGAGCTCCAGCTCTCTGGAGCACTGCACGCACAAACACGAACACCAGACCACGCCCATCATGCAGAACTGCACCACTTGCGTGTGACGGCGGCGAAGAGAAATCGCACCAGCTCGCAATCAAACCGTGCCCGTGTTGGGATGCGAGGCCACTTTTGAACACCGACAAGAAACTCCACTTTGGGGTGCTTGGGAAATGTGAAACTGTTCATGGGTACTCTGGTGAAATCATATGGAGTCATTTTAATGTATGCTAGACTGGATTTACACTGCATGGTGTGACACAATTCTGTTTGTTTTTTTTTGGGGGGTGGGGGGGTTGCCCTCAAGTGGTATAATTGGGATTTCAAATGAATCAGTCAGGCCATAAACGCTATGTCACGTTTAATATTTGTACTATTTATCGGCCATGATTTAGTTCCATGATTTGTGTTATTTCTGTGCAATTCGGGCACGCAGGCGTTCTGTCAGCCATACGGGATCTGTGTCACTAGACATGTCTGTACATTAAAAATCGGAATTGAGCACTTGGACCTGCAGTGTAAATCCAGCCTTGGGAAGCCCAAAAAAAAAAAAAAACCAAAAGGAGCGTCTGCAACGCAAAGCTTTGAGCGTTGCACTTTGTAGCTTGTAGGGCGAGCTCCTGACACCCGACGTCCTGGCGAAATGAATGCAAAGTCAGAATCTTGACGAGGCTATGATTGTAACACGAACCAAACCATTGCTACTCCTCTGCATTGTGTTGTATTTGATGAAGATGACTCCTGTTCGTTTAAAAAAAAAAAAAAAAAAAAAAAATCCGAAACGAGGAGTTGAATACAAAACATATTAGGCCTTCATATTTAGAAACCATCAGCTCATAGCAGGGCTATATAGTCCCGATATAACCTTACTTAAAATCCATTTGAGTAACCATAATCTGTTTTCTTGTAATGCATGGAAGTGTAGCTCATTACATGTGTATGGTGTATTCCAGTTTCCACCACTAACCCCCCTTTTTCTATTTTTCCCAGTGCCTTTTTTTTTTTTTTAAGTGCTCATCTTGTGTATGTATCTTAACGGTTTCCTTTAAGGGAAAGCACATTTTCTCCAGTGGTTCACTTTTGACTGGTTATTTGTCCTGACAGTGTTGTTTAGCAACGTCTCTGTTTGTGCCATCAAACTTGGCTGAATGTATGCATGAAGAAGAAGATGAAGAAGAAGAAGAAGAGGTTTCGGGGCAGAGGGTCCCGTGGTCGACAGTATTACTGCTCATCCCGACTCACTGTGAAGTCTTAAAACAAAAGAAAAGAGCATCCTGGTTTGGTTGTCTGCCATATGCCTCGTGTGCAACTCGAGCTTATTGGGATCAGATCTGGTTTCAAACACCCGACCGAGCCTGGGGAGGTTAGCATCATCCTCATTCTTGACAACTTCCTGCCGCCGTAGGAAGTCCTGTTGTGTTGGTTTATTCGTGCTGTCCGGTTCCTGTTTGTTCAGGATTATACTCCCATTCTTCCCGTGTGTTTTATTTTTAATACGAAAGAATTTGAAAGAAAAAAAAAAAAGTGTTTATAAATCACATTCATTCACACTCACACAGTCCAGCAGAAATGGTGAAAAGCACTTTGGCAGCTTCAGTGATGTCTTTTTTTTTTAGGCGTCTGTCATGTGTATCACTTTTGTCGCGTCGCCTGACTATAAATATATGAACATGTATGTAAGTATGTACAGTTTATATGTGTGTGTTTATGTATGAAAATGTGTCTCTTGTGCAATAGCTTTTTGTTTTGTCCCCTGTAGCACGCTGCCTGTGTCCATTCGGTACCATCTGAAACACTAATGTAGGTACATTGTTTTTGTTTATTGAATTCCTATTTGTTTGTTTTTTTACAAAATAAATGAAATACGAAAGAAGTTGTTGTGCTTTACTTTAATTCTAAGTAGAACTGGTACAGATGCACAAGCTATCACTCCCCTAAACTATTCCAGCCGGTATGTTATAATTACGCAATTGCAGTGCACGAACGGGCACGTCACCATTTGCACTCACATTCGCATGAAAGGCCAATTCGGCATCTTCCCAAGACAGGGTGTCCTAAATGCGGCCGGGGGGGCCATTTGCAGCCCGCCATATGATTTTCAGCGGTCTGTGGCATATATTAAAAATGGCTTTTGACTTGGCTAGTTAAAAAAATGTAATGAAAAGGATGGTGGTGGGCAGAGAGAGAGGAGGGAGTCGAAACACTAGCTGCCACTCCTACTAATTCTGTAGCCTCGCTAGATATACAAACACACAAATAAACTATACACAAATGAAATAACACATTTCCTCTTCATAAAACTATGTAAATATAGATAATTGGTTTTGAGAAGCAAAAACTGTTTCTTCCACTCTTTGCTCTGTGTCAAGGTCCCATCTGTGACACGATCACATTAAAAATCAAGGATCTGTTTTACAAATGTTAGCTTACTATTGTTTGGAAAAATATATATATCGAATAATTTTTTAGAGGGGCCTTGCATTCTTTCATTTTACAAAAAATGTTGGACAACCCTGACCGAAGATGACTTTTGGCCAGGCTACACTAATGTCCGGTTTCCAGCCAATCACAGCGCACATATAGACAAAACAACCATTTGCGCGGATATTCACACTTATGGACAATTTAGAGCCTTCAGTTAACCCTGTCAGCGACCGCGATTACTACAGTGGACATCTTATATACTAGACAGGTTGCGGGAAAACACAAGTTAGTTCATGAAAGCATGAAATTGGTCCAAAGTGTCTGTTAATCACGCCTGTCTTACACAATAGAATTGTTCAATTCCTCAAAGGCGGCGCTGATGGGAAGCCGGGCAGAGGGCAAGGCGAGTGAGATTCGGGGTGTGGTGCTGACCATGAATGTCTATTTGTAAGCTGGCTTGTCTGAGAAATGCCCCCCAGAGATGTTTTGGGGTCCTGGGGGGAGACTCGGGCAAGGGTTGACTTACAGCGGCCTCGGGAGACTTGGGCCTGTTTCCTGTCAGCAGTCCAGGATTCCTGGGTGGGAACATTGGCTGAATCAGCCCCAAGAGGCTGCGCCTGCTGGGAAGGCGGCCAGATCGCCGCACAGCCTTTTTCCTTGCAGGAAGTGACATCAGACGCTCTAACCTGCAATGGGAAGTCGCACGCACATGTAATCAAACCAAAGCGAGCACATAAACTGACAGAGTGGAAGAACTTCATGCATAAACTTATATCTCGGGTCAAAAACGCTGTCTAAATGTTAAAATTACATGGGTTACATATACAGACACATATTGTGTTTGCATCAACTCTAAACAGACATTGCCAGTTAATGGAGGTCTGTGGATGGATTTTATTTTAATCAAACTCATCGTAAACTGGTCACGCAAATCCTAATGTCACACTGCCACCCGGTGGTTAGGTTATGTACTACGTTCTACAATAGAGATGAGAGGAAGGCCGAAGCTTCTGCACTGTGAGGCGGACCTGCTGACCAGTGGGCCACCGTGCCGCCCACCTGTAATTACTGTACAGTATATCATATTTTATTTGTTTTAATTATAAAGTGATTAGCTTGCATTGTAATTGTTACTGTTTTGTATTGTGCTGTTTTGCAAAATATTCATATCACTATAAGCACACACATATTTACAATAAAAAAATAATAAATTATTTCTTTAAAAAAAAAAAAAAAACAACTTCATATCGTAATTATATATAAAATGTCTCTGGAGGTCGGCGCCAAATAAAATCTCGTCTATGGCGCCATATGGGCTCGGGGCCGGCCCTGCTTATGTGTCACTACTTGGTAAATAATTGCTTGTTGCTGCAATATGTGTCCTTCATAACACTGGAGACAAATTCCTTATTTGTTTGTACAATAAATATGTGATCCTGAAAGTGTGAATTGATTGAGCTTTAAAATCCACGATACAGTCTGCAAGTATGGAGAGGGGAAAAAGGTAATTGGAAAAGTGTGGGGGATTTAGGGAACTTGGCCTACCTCACATTTTCATAAACCAGCATAAGAATGGTTCCATGCATGCTGTCAGAGTTCAAATCAAAACGTCTTATTTTGTTCAAATTGCCAAACAATATTACAGTGTGTCCGTTTCCGCATACTCTGTCGTCCTCAACTTCCGGAAGAAAAACAACGGGGTGATTGCTTTTATTAATTCAAATTAGCAACTGTTATACCATTTATAAAGCGACAAAAACATGAAAATTCAAACTTTGTGTTATTTAATAAAATACATAGTGTGTTTCTAGACCAAAATGTTCCTTTCGGGACTTCTGATACGTCCTTACATTTGAAGGTCTTAACCATGAGCCTCTGTAAGTGGTACAGTCCGAAACGCCCAGGTTTCCGCGCGAAAAGACGGCCCAGGCGCGCCAATTGCTTTACTCGCGTCCATTCCACAACACGACTCATGCTCAGGCTGAGTAGCACTGTCGCTCTCACTCCGCTTTTAGATTCTTTTAAAGCTACTTTAACTCGCGCTCTTAAACGTTGATTTTACTACCAGCCGAGCGTCATGCCAGCCAGCACTTCCCTGTCGTTGCCAGAGGATGTCAGGAAAAGGTAGGCTGCCGTGTATAATAACCCGGATGCTAATCTTCTACATGTTGCTCAAACATGGCCACTATATTCCGTTTTCTGTCTTTGAGTTATGAATGTGCCATAGCGACTTGACTGGTGCCTCCTCGCTGTTGCTATCGAAAGCATGTCACCACTTGACCGTCGCGTCCCATCGGGCGAGTTAGCATGCTCGTTAGCGCCCCAGCCTGTCAACGCGTGTATGTGTGCGGGGAAAGCTTTTGGCGCCACTATGAACAGTGTCATAGTGGTCAACCAAAGAGAAAGCTAACACGGCTGAGCGTCGTTTTTAATTTTTTTTCTCACCTTCGTTTAAAGGTTGATGGTGCTGCACGAAGATGGATCTTCAGACGAGGTGAGTTGAACCGCATCAGCAAGCTCAACGTATTTTGTCACACTAGACCTTTAAACGTGACAATATATTGTGTTTTTCAAGCAACAATGGCGTGCAGAATTCTCTTAAGTCTATTTTGGGAAGCGGTAAAGCCGTGATTGGCGAGGCGCACACAGGTGTGAGCAATGTCGTTGAGGGATTCGATGGGTTTCCGTTCTTACGTCGGTGACGTAAGACGCATCCGTACGTGCTGCGCTCGGTCACTAAAATTAACGCGAAGTCATTATTCCGTTTGTTGTCTATGAGCTCTGAACAGTTTGAATGTTATCCATTAAAAAGAGATACATGTTAACCAGTGGTCTAACAGTGGTTTCTAATCGTCCTTCCAGGATCACGTAAAAGAGCAGCTCAAGCTGGTCCAGGACTTTCTGCATGCCGACACTCAGGATGCCCTCAGCATCCTCGAGGAGAAGATGAAAAACTCAGAAATCTCCATGGTGAGAATTTCAGCACTCGTGAACTCGCAACATCGTGTCTAATGTGTGGTCTTTGTTGCCCTCCTTCCTCAGGAGGACTACGTCTCCAAAGTGAAGTCCTTGCTGGGAAAGGCGCTCAGCCTGGAGAACGGCGAGGAGCCCAACGGCAAAACAAACGGCCTCAGTAACGGCTCCCACAAAGGCGAGGACGCCGGCATGGATGTTGAGGAGGAAGACGAGGCCCTCAAATCGCCCAGCGCTCGTGGGAAAGGACGCAAGAGCAAGGCTGACACCAAAAGTTGGCACCTTTCTTTACGATACGACAGTTTTCAGTGCCAATTATTTTTAAACTTTCATTCTTGATTTTCCCGCAGAGTCTCCGGCCACTTCCAGGGTGACGAGAAGCGGCGGCAAACAACCAAGCATCATCTCTATGTTCTCTAAAGTGTGCGTTTGTAGCTCTCATATTTTTTGGATTTTTTTTTCGGTGCGTTTCATAGCAAGCTTGCCATAGAATTGAATCTGAAAATATTCCATGCGCAACAGATTGTTAGATGGCTAAATCAAAGACTGTTTTTAGTTTGCTGTTTTTGAAGGATTGTTGCCTTAAATCGTAATGCAATATGAAAAAAAAAAAGAACAAATCTGTTTTGATTAATGATATTTGTATTTCTGGGGGAAACAAAACGTATGTCGTCTTATTTGAGCGGAACGACCTATTTTACAGTCAAAAGCGCAAATCGGAAGACCTGAGTGGCGAAGCCACAAATGGAGAAACTGAAGTGAAACAGGAAGATGGTGCTGAAGAGGTGAGTGCTCTTAAATTCAAGTCCTGCAGCTCACTTGTTCACACTGCCAGCCTAATCTTTTATTTTATTTTTTTTTCTTCCCCAAAATGTGCCATAGTCCCAGGAGAAGCGTCTGAAAGTGGAGTCTGATGACAAGTGAGTTCCTCAAACACTTTGAGACGTCGCTACTTTGAATTTGTCTCTCTAAAATCCTTGACTTTGACAGGGCTACTTCTGAAGAGACCAAGACAGTTTCTGCTGCCAAGGTAATATGTAAATAGCATTTTTCCCCATTTTGGGGAAAGAAATGAAAAACAAATAACTCACAGGTTTTAGCTCATCTGACTTTTTTTGCTTTTTCAGACGCCACCTCCCAAATGTCCGGATTGCAGGCAATATTTGGACGACTCCGACCTCAAGTTCTTTCAAGGGGATCCAGACACTGCAGTAAGCATATTTTTTGTCATTGTTTTTTTTTCCTCCCCTTTTCAAATATCTTCCAAACATGTGAACGAGCAAGAACCCAACATGGTTGTGTCTCCAGCTGGACGAGCCTGAAATGCTGACTGACGAACGGCTATCGTTGTTCGACTCCAACGAGGACGGCTTTGAGAGCTACGAGGATCTGCCACAGCACAGGATCACAAACTTCAGGTGAGAATTCTCGATTAAAAAAATAAAATAATAATAACTATGTTGACTTTCTTCATGCGAGCTTATCAAAGAACAAATAAATCAATTCCTCTTGTAGTATCTACGACAAGCATGGTCATCTTTGTCCCTTTGACGCCGGACTGATTGAGAGGAATGTGGAGCTTTACTTCAGTTGCGTTGTCAAACCAATCTATGATGACAACCCCTGCTTGGATGGTAAAGACCAGGCTGTCATGCCACGTTCATCTGCTCTTACTGGACATTTGATTAGGCACACCTGCGTGAAAAGAGCTGAAATGTAATTACAGATGCAGATGAACGTGGTGGCTTGAATTCTTTTCTGTTCCTTCTCGAGGTGGCGTTCCCGCAAAGAAACTTGGACCCATTAACGCCTGGTGGATTACTGGATTTGACGGCGGAGAAAAAGCTCTCATCGGGTTCACCACAGGTATCGACAGACTTCTTGTTGTCCTACGTTTCCCCGTCCGATAGAGATGAACTCTTCTTCTCTCCCTCCCCAGCGTTTGCCGACTACATCCTGATGAATTCCAGCGAGGAGTACTCTGCCATTTTCGCGCTGATGCAGGAGAAGATCTACATGAGCAAAATCGTGGTGGAGTTTCTCCAGAAGAATCCGGACGCCAGTTACGAGGATCTTCTCAACAAGATTGAGGTGAGGTTGTCTTATTTAATGTACACGGTGTTATTACTGCTATTTTGGATCGGGATAAACTTTTTGTCGTGGCTTCGCTCTTTCATTTTGGGCTATTTGAGCGAAGTAGAAACCAGTCAAATTGAGTTTTTGGAGGGGAAAATGTATATTATATAGACAATTGAGATTAAATGGTCCAGTCAAACGTCATAGCGAATCTGTACGTTTGTTTCCCCCGACTTCAGACCACGGTGCCACCGCCGGGCCTCAACTTCAACTGCTTCACCGAGGACACTCTGTTGCGCCACGCCCAGTTTGTGGTGGAGCAGGTGGAGAGCTACGATGAGGCAGGCGACTCGGACGAGCAGCCAATCATCATCACGCCTTGCATGCGTGACCTCATCAAGCTGGCCGGCGTGACGCTGGGCAAGAGGTACAACTTTCTTCGCTGCGACGTTTCGATTAATGTGGGGGGAGACAGAGGGGTTGGCGCCTCACCTGCCTTTTTTTTTTTTTAAGTTGCCGCACCTCCAAATGCTCCTGATATTAAAATTGTCATTTTTATTTTCAACAATTATTGGCTTGAAGTGCTCGCTAACGTCTGCCATTCCTCTGACGTTTTCTTATGCAGCATGCTGCTGTCCTGGTAGGTTGGCCTTGAATGCATCATTAGCTCATGTGATGGGGAAAAAGTCCATGCCATTGTTTTGTATGGCTTCACATAGTCGTTTGTGTGTACTATCGCCATTACGCCATCTGGTTTGTCATTTCGAGTGGCTCCATAAGCAGCGTGGCGCAACGCGACGCCCACACGAGTGTAATGTTATCCAAAGCAAGGGCGGCGGGGTCTGCCTTATGTGGCTGGCTGGTGAAATACGAGCTTTTGATGGCATAAATCACGCAAAGAGCACATGTAGCAGACAGAATAATGAGAAATGATTTGCCTCCAAAGTGCTTTGTAGGTTCAGGTGATCAGCCTGGCGTTGCCATAGAAACTAGTACTGTATTTTCCCGATCAAAAGGCACACTTATATGTCAAAATTTTCCCCAAAATGGACGGGATGCCGAATAATGCGGGTCACCTTTTGTATGCGAGTTCCAAAATCTGTGAAAGCTATTTTGTGAACGGATTATCGATGCTTGGGTTTACGTGTCTGCTTGCACCGTTGTTGGGACCTTACGCATCATTTCTGAGGAGCCGGACGGCCACGAGCCTGCCTGGCATGTTTGATTGTGAGCTTGCCCAGCTGTTCATTTCGGATACAGAAAATTAGGACTTTGAGTATTGATTGATTTTATTTATTTATTTATTTATTTTTATTATTATTTATTTTTAGCATGAGTACATGGTTCAATATTTCAATAAAGTACAACCGAGCTCAGTTTTGCACCCGCTGCCTTTTTATAAAAAAATACTCTAGCATACACGCATACCAGGGTTTTTTTTTAAGCTCTCTTACGTTTTGACCATACCTGCCTCAATAATACAGAGCGTTGGGGTTGGGAGGTGTCTCAGGCGTTTACTGCCTTTATACTTGGCGGTTTGTTTTTTTTAAATGGCTGAAGAGTGGTACACGCATACTTTTTTTTTTTTTTTTGGGCCACACAGAGTCAAAATAGTTGTGTTCAATATGCGTTTGTCCTGCTTTACTCTTCATTCTACAGCGTCACTGTGTTGCTTGTCTCATGTTGCATGGCTGGACGCTTTAGATCACAGGTTTCAAACCCCAGTCGGCGAGGGGCCACTACCCTGCATCTTTTTAGACTTTTCCCCTCTTCCAACAAACCTGATTCGAATGATCAGGCTCCTGCTGAGCTGATCATCTGAATCAAGTGTGTGGCAGTAGGGGAAAAAAATCTATGACATGCAGCATAGTGACCCTCGAGGACCGGAGTGTGACTCTTGTGGTTTAGATGATTGGCCAACCGCTTCATCTTGACATTGCATCACACAACCACCAGCAGCCCTTTCAGGTCCTAAATACCAAATCCTTGAACGCAAATGGCTTTTCTTTTTTTTCTACTTCAACCAGGCGAGCTGCCAGACGGCAAGCCATCCGTCACCCCACCAAGATCGAGAAGGACAGCAAGGGTCCCACCAAAGCCACCACCACGAAGCTGGTCTACCTGATTTTCGACACCTTCTTCTCGGAGCAGCTCGAGCAGGACGACAAGGAGAGCGCCGCCAAACGGCAGCGCTGCGGCGTCTGCGAGGTGAGCCTTTGCCACGCCCACTCAATCTGAAACGGCCTATTTGAATGCAGAAATCTTCACCATGGCTTTTTATTTTTTTTTTTTTAATATATATATATATAAAGGTTTGCCAATCTCCCGACTGTGGCAAGTGTGCCGCCTGTAAGGACATGATCAAATTTGGAGGAAGCGGCAAAAGCAAGCAAGCGTGTAAGCAAAGAAGGTGAGCGTGATGAACAACAACATGCATCATGTTTTGGAGCGGTTGTATTTATTTGATGGAAACTTTGAAGTTGAGGGAGGTCCTCTCATTAACCGATGAAAATGCCCGTCCTCGTTGAGACAGGTGCCCAAACCTGGCCGTGAAAGAGGCTGAGGATGATGAGAACATAGAGGAGGAAGATGTCCTTGTGAAGACTAAGAAAGCGTCTCGGGTGAAGAGGAAGAAGCAGACTCAGTGCAAGCTGACTTGGGTCGGCGAGCCCGTTCAGGTACTGGATGCTTCATGCTTGATGAGCTTGGGGGGGTGTCACGAATGACCCCTCGCTGTTTTGTTTTCACTCGCTTTTCAGTGTGAGGGCAAAAAGCAGTACTACAAAAAGGTCTGCGTGAACG